GTTGAGTTCTACAAAAATGAGTAAATACTGATTTCGTCAAGTAAAATAATAGATTATTTATAAAGGAGTGAGTACTGATTTCGTCAAGTAAATAGGAAATTATTCATTGGTACACCGAATATTTACTCCGAATTGTATTATCTTGTACAATGTATACGAGTACAATTATAGGAGAATAGGGTCGAGTGACAGCTAGAAACCAAGAAAGAGGGGAAGACAGAGAAAAGGAGAGCAGAGAAAGAGAGAACAGTGTCAATCTATCTATAGAAGCTCGACTACTGGATGGGATAATTGTGTGAGGGTGAAGTTGCAATCGCGAATGCAACTGGTGGTGGTGTGGGGAGGGGAGGTGGTGAGAGTTCACCCGCTTCGCCTCCTCTCTGCCCAACCGATAGGGGGTGGAGATACCGACGTAATGGGTACATGCACACACTCGTACAAGGTGCATCGATGTGATCGTCGAGGAAAATCACGGGACGATGTCAACGACCCATGTTTGCGACGATCTTCATCCTTTCCAACCTCGTCCATCATTGTCTGCGACTGTTATACCAACTCGTTTTTCCCGTTTGTCTTTTCTGTTTCATGAATCGTCAATACGGAATATAATTACCACGCCTGGTAGATTAATTTTCAATTTTCCTCGAGTAATCTCTTGTATTAATGCGAATATGCAGGTTGTCGTGTAACTGGTGGTACAAACAAGGCAGAGGGTATGTTCTACATGAAAAAGTAAGTCGAGAATGTAGGATAATTTTTGTTTCATTTAGGACTTCGATTATGAGAAAATCAACTTTGAATATCTGCTGGATACGCGTGCGATTGAATGGGACTTGGCTGACGCGTCTGATCATTGCATTCCGTTTCTACTTACTACCTTGAATACACGCGTTTCAGATTCATTTTCAAAGACGATTTTCTCGAAATCGAAGTCTGAAATGGAAGAATTTTATTCTAGATTTTCGACTTAGTTCTTCATGTAATATCACCATCTTTGTACCACCATAACACCCTGTATATTCGTACAACCTTTCGATGTAGTGGTGAATACCGTTTAAAATTCATTTAGATCGCAGGTTATTCTGCTAATGTAGAAAACTGTCCCCGCGGTTACTGAGACCGAAAATACATTCGGTGTAACACTAATTCACAAAACACACACCTTGGCACGTTTCATGGAAACGTGTTCCGTTGTTGAGAAATTGGTTTATGCTCTGGGTTCTAAAATGTTCGCGTGTACAACGTTACTTGGAGTTAGTGACGGGCAAAAAGGATTTTAAAAAAATATTCGAATGACGAACACCTCACCAATTTGTAATTTTATTTGTGCTCAAGTACCAAATATATTAGTATACTGCATTTAATAATTGTATAATTACAGAATACAAGATGCTAACGTATTCGGTACTTACTGATAAAATGATTACGAAATACAAGTGTATTCTAGTATTTGCTCATTATAGAATACAAAATACCAGAGTATTCGTCAATTGATCCATATATTCAATACAAGTATTCAGTTCTTTACATGAATTTCAATTGCAAAATTATTCGATTGTGCTCATCTCTGTGTGCAGTTCAGTGAAGAGATAGAATTTGAAACGGGTACGTTATTAATTTTTTTTCGTATCGTATGGACCACTTTTCGTGGATCTGTATTGTCTTTATTCACATTTTTTTTTGACCTGGATCGCCACAAAATTTTTGTGCCAATCGGCTCTTTTTTGTCGAATTTCGGATTGGGAATCTCATTTGTAAGAGAAGCTTCAATTTATCTTGATTTGTATACATATAGCTTCTTTCGTTTTCGATAACAGTAATGCGATTGATTCTCATTTTGAATTGGCCGAATGATTGAAACGATTCAACTTCGATCGCAATTAAAAACTCAATGCAATCGAAATAATTATGCGACTGTGCATGCATTAATGTTAAATAAAACTGTCAATACGTAATCACTTCAGGACTGTCCATTATGAAAGATTTAAGCGTCTTTGCATGGTGTAGAAAATTGCGTAAAGCCTCGGTGATCGTCCAAACAAAACAGTCAAAAATTTTGGAAACACCCCCGATATATTTTCGACTTATTTTTTCACGAAGAATAACCCTCTGCCTGATTGTACCACCAGTTACATGACACTCTGTATATATATTCCTGTGTCTATAAAGTTTATAAGTAAACATTAAGCTCCTATTATTTAATTACACCTGTGATTTTCATTTTACGTATACTTCTAACGATTTAAATGCAACATTCAATTCAACTTCGATCACTTTTATCCATATCCGCACACTCGAATGTTCTGAATAATATCAGGATCCACAAATCATCTGATCAAATCAGATCGAAATAAAAGGCTTAAGTTCAATCTTCATTCACTCGTACATAGAAACCACAACTACCGATCGATACCAAATAGAGAGGCAGAAACAGACAAAAAAAAAAAAACAAGCCAGAGAAACAAAAACGACTGTGATCGTTCGACGCGTATTGTCCGCTCCATTTGTGTCGATCGCGGCGCCTAGATTAATCGCCCGCGAGAGATAATCCCGCCAATGTACTTCTTCGCTCCGCCGTTGCCGTCGATCGGTCGATCGGACTTTGTACGGTTCGATGTCTCCGGCCGCTCGATACCGCCGGCGGTAAAAAGAACGAAAATCACGCGAACGTTGAACTAAAAACTGTTCGAGCCCAGCGCCGCGCACACGCCCGGGTTATTTAAATAACGCTCTCGATCCTCGACGAAACGAGCCAGCAGAGCGTAAAATCACGCGCGATAACGAGCACATGATCGTGTTCGCCGTTCGACCACGTTTATCGTCGATCGTCCCTCGATTCGCTCGCGACAGCCACTATCCTTTTCGTGAGACCCGGCCGGAAATTATATAAGTTTTTCCCCCCTCGACGATCCACACGTTTCGGTTTATCTTTGTCGCCGGTGACGCGACGACCGTGTGCGTTCTGTTTCTCTCTCTCAGTCGCTCTACGCCAGCCTTGAACTTCGACTCGAGACGTGCCATTGTCCGAATTAAATTATTCGGTGCTCTGATCATTCTGCGTCATACGTAATACGGAGGCGCCTCGACTCGATCCCCTCACCGCCTGAAGGTTTCTCACGATCGAGATCCTCCTGTGATTATTGATCTAGATCACTGATTTTCTCAGTGGTTTTCGGATTGGTGAGTGTTTCACGATTAACACGAGCCCAAACACGACTTCGATCGGATCGTTTGGAATTTAGTGCAGTAATGCTTCTTTACTTGTTCATTGACACGCTCCTAAAGCTGTGTCTACACTATGTAAAGAAATAGTATTATGTAACGAATTGTTATATAACTTTGCTATATAACATGTTCTTATAACTTGTTACTAGATTATACCTTCTGGACGAGTCTGTAACAAGTTTGTATAATATTTAGCATCTCATTATTTAATAATGCTGTTACACTCGATGGATAATAGATAACTTGTTATATGACATGAAAAATTGTTGGCATAACGTTTTTCTTTCTGTTTTTCTACAAATGTTTTTATAACTTTGCTGTATAACGTGTTATGTTACATAGTGTTGACGCAATTTAAATATTGGGACACGTGGCATATATGATGAAATCTGATGTTTCGTAAAAATTATGCACTTTATGCTTGGTGCTCGTTGCCAGACCCGAGTCTAGAACCATTTCGAACGCATTGTTTAATTTTCAACAAGGATATTATTTTTAAACACCGTAACTGAATATTATTTCTATTCCATATTGTTAATAGAATTCAAACAATCGATGTCAAAATATACACTACCGGCCAAAAGTGTGGGGTAAGGCCCGATAATTAAAGAAACTAACACAAATCATTTCCACACAGTTCTAGCACATTACTTTTATCAAATCTTAGAGTAAAATATTTATAATAATATTTTTAATAATATTTTCCTCTAAAAATTGATCAAAGTAATGTGCTAATACTGAGTGGAAATGATTTGTGTTATTGTTCCATCAATCATGAACTCTGATTTCATACTTTTGGCTAGTGATTATGTAATTCTTTATGTCGTTACCATCGAATCATATTGTGCAATTAGTCATTGTTCCCATTAATTCTCCCCAGCCATTACGTACACTATAATTAATATCGAATTGCATGTTGGATCCTCATTGTGCGAGAATTTGTTATTGTCGATTCGTTTTCATTCTTCGTGGACCAGTTCGAATCACTTGAACCTTAAATCATCGAATGGATCTGGTGGCTCCCCTTCCACCAACGTATTGTATCGAGCGCCTCCATTTACGATCTTTCACGCAGCCTACTTTGCTGGATTTCGGACGGGCTCGCCGTGTGTAGATTACTTGATTACGATCGTGTAACAATTTCTGTGCAGATTTCGAACAGGTATATATCTTCGAAAGATAAAACATGATTACACGAGACGTGCAATTGAACACATTGAGAGACGTAATTTTGAAAGTTTCTAACTCATTGGAATAATAGAGGATCATTACCGAAAATCAATGCAAAGTTACAATTTCCGATACCAATATCTAACAATTCAAATTGAGCAGAATTTTGAATTTTGTACTGAAAGATTTGCAACATTAATAGCTAACATACAAATAGTATTAAAATTTATTAGAACCTTTACCTTATTGCATTTTCTAAGTTAAGAAATTCTATAAATGCGTAAACATACACAGTCAAATCATTATCAATATTTCCATCCATCGAACAGAAATCCTATACTTCTGATTACAAAACTGTTATTGTTCCTATCAATAATCACCTCTGTGAATAATTATTTTCAGACGATCAATCTGACAGTTATTATCGACTTTAGCCCGTGTATAGAATTTTATATCTCGAAAAGATCCTATCGTTCGATTTCCGATCCTTGTCGATTCACTTCTACGTTTCTGGTATTTTTTTTTTTTTTTGGTTTATTTTTAAATTGCAGACCCTCGAGAAGGTATATTATCACTCGAATGAAATTCGACTATTGGTTTTCCAGGTAACAATGCAGGAGGCAGGTCGTCAGCGGTGACAGGATCTGTTCAAAGGAGCACCGTCACGTCGAGCAACCGCGCACACTCAGCCACTCGACGGATCAGCCATCAGCAGCGTCAGCAACAGCAGCAGCAGCAGCGTCAGCAACAGCAGCAGCAGCAGCGTCAGCAACAACAGCAGCAACAGCAGCAGCAACAGCAGCAGCAGCAGTCAAGGATACCATTGGGATCCTTACGAAACTCGGATGACCACGCGCCAAGAGCCAGCTCGGCACAGGACGTTTGCGAAAACTCAAACGATTCCGGGCTTGGCTTCGAGGAACGTCAGCAACACCTTTCCACCGCGAACGTTAGTGAATATTCCATTCAACCTAACCCTGTTTTCCTTAAAAGTATTACTTTTTTTTACCTAACTTTTGCCTGTATGAATGTATATTTTTTTATTTAATAGCAGAAAAGTTTGCTTTGCTATAAAATTTTGAAGTGGTCACATTAATTGTGGCCAGAAACTGCAGGTAATATTTAAATATTCTAGTATTTTCTCGTTGTTAGTTTGTTGCACAAGTTTGTGATTCTTCGGTTACAAGCCCGTTTCTTGTCAGAGTCAGACTATACGTATTTGTTAGTTAGGTACTTGTTATATTTCGTTTTTAAGTCATAAGGGTACTCTTTAACCCTTCGTGCCCTGACGGTACTTTGTAGTACCACTTTATATGTAACAATAAATTATTTTCACTGCTGCCGTTAACCCCTGGGTCTGTTAGGTCTATACCTATTTCTTTTAATTATACAGGTTTTCAAAAAATCTGAAAAAATTCGGTGATACTTTTCAAGAATCTCTGCTACAAGATTCAATAGTTTTTAAAGTTTTTCTGGAATAAAAATTGCGGTAGAAGAATAACGATAACATAATTCAGGCTTTAAAGGGTAAATTAGAGATTATAAAGTCAACTTGTTCTTTTTTGGAATTAAAGGAAATTTTTATGTTTATTTATCGATAAATTGCTAGTGAATTCTCGTGTAACAACCTGATGCAAGTTTGATTTATCCACGGTGCTACATTCGCGAAGATATTATCGATGACCATCCTCATTATAAACTCTTCGCCGATCCCTAACCAATGAGCTTGTATCGAGGTCACACTGTATATCGAAAAAAAAACAGGTTGCTGTTAGAAACAATTGATTTTTCTCAAGATGACGTCATTCCATCGATTATTTGTTACGTAACAAGTACTCAACAATGACTGAACAGTGACTCAACGAATCGATAATGGCTCGTTCCAGTCTCCCTTTTTTTCCTTCTGATAAATTCACGTTTCTCCTGTGTGATTATTGCATACATATAAAAATTATTCTCATTCGGACGAACCATTCGAGTTCTTTTTGTTTCCAGTTCGAAATATCTGAAAGAAAGACAAGCTAAGTTTAAAATGAATCGATGCTACGACTATTCGAAGCACTATTTACGTATCAGAACTGGTTATCGCCGGTTTGACAGAAGACTGGAGACTCATCGAGACCGTTATCGACAGTTATCGTCGGGAAATTGCATCGGTATTCGCAGTATTATCTAAGAGTGTGTGTCTTCTATTGAATATTCACCCTTAGCATTCGCAAGGCTTGAAAAACTGTGTACAGGGTGATTACGAAATAGTGGTACAACTCGAAAGGATGTGATTCTACATGGAAAAAGTACGTCGAAAGTGTAGAATAACATTTTTTCGAACGAGGCTTCGTGCTTTCGAGAGAATCGAATTTGTAAAATCTGCTGGATACGAATACAATTGTTGACTAAGACTTGGCTAACACGTCTGTCCATTGCATTCTGTTTCTACTTACTGTCCTATGAATATATACGCATTCGATGAATTTTAAAACAGAGCATTGTAAAAAAAAATGTTATTCTACGTTTTCAGCTTACTTTTCTATGTAGAATCACATCCTTTCGGGTTGTACCACTATTTCGGAAACATCCTGTATGATACCGTCTTGTATATTGCATTTTAACACGTTGACTGTCGCAGTGAAAAAGACCGTGCGTAGCCAGGCACACTAAATCGTCGAAAACATATACGTAGAGCCTGTTGGTCTTGCTTTAAATTATAAATACTACGATATTAATTTTACGCCAAAAATTTTGTAACGATATTTAAATAATTTTCTTTGCAATGTATGTGTCATCTATATTTATTTATAACGTGGCAGTCAAAGTGTTAATAATCGATATCATCGATACTGTATTTAGTGCCTTCTATTTCGTTCCCATTTATTTAGATTCGTTCAACGAATTAATCTGACAGATACTCTTTCGAATTAATATTGTCATTGTAATTGTGTAATTTCTGATATAATGGAAACCAGTACAATATTTTTTATCTACTTTTCATCTGTAAAGTTCGTCAAATCGATTAACCACTTCGGGGAATTGCAAGTTCCACAATCTCTAGTACAATAAGGTACAGAAGTGACGGTTACGCTTTTTCAGTTTTATCTCTCTCGAGAAAAACAGTTCTCCGCTTGAGATTCCAGCACCCGGGGAGATAGTCCGGTATACTTTCACTCTTCAGGAAACATATGTAAAATTGATAATCGTGATCAGAGCAATGACCCACAAACAAAACTCTCTCGAGTCTCTGATTTTGTGTACATCGAATCCAATCGCTGCAATTAATCACCGTAAACAAACACTCGAAAATAACAGCCACAGATTTAGTATTTTCCTCCTTCTGTCTCTCGCCGTTTAAATTCTTATTGTTCATTATATCCACCCTCTTTGACTACGACGAAGACCCTTTGAATACATCACTCTCAGAAAAAATCTTTCCTAACATGTATATTGTCAAATGATTGTCAATTTCAGGAAAAGTGCAAACATGTGTACTTACCAGTATCACTTCGCAACATTGAAGTTAAAATACCTCATAAACCAATGATTCTTCGACATAAATAGATTAACCCCTTACCGTATGGAATTTTAATTTGATAAATAGTCATAAGAATCAGTTATGTGAATTCGAACATTTGTTTTTATTTCTGAAAATAAGTACCCCTATATAGAAGTGGGTGCGGTAAGGGGTTGATACTTTTTGTAGGGAGTATCGAGACTTCGTATCGAGTTTTCGTATCGTCACAAATAAAACAATAATTAAGGGTGACAGTCTTAGGTGGTAATATAAAAGTCAACAAATGTATATTTATTAGGTATTTACACCGTTCAACGTATATCCGCACCAAATTCGGCACGAATATTCTTGGACACCCCAGAAAAAATACTACGAAGGTGCTCACTTCCTCGTGTGCACGAGGTCGGAAACACTCCACCCCCGAAAACATTTCCCAAGAGGACACTCTCGAAGCCCCAGATGCCTCTCCCTCCTATCTGGTTACGACACACTGTGTCTCGTGCATGTGCAAGTGGAAGTCTAATGCGATCACGTTCACCGTCGTTGATTCGCCCGACGACGACCAACGACGACGTCGATCGAGTCTCTAACGGTAGTTGAACCCAGCCCATGATGGATGTCCTGATTCGTTAAATCAAGCCGACAACGTGCACGCACACCGAGCCCCAACTCCTATCATCTCTGTCTCTCTTTTTCATCAATCTATCGTCTTGCTTAACAGGCTTGGAACGGTGCCGGCGAGGAGGACTCGAAGAGGAGGAAAATGGACATCAAGCTCGAGTCCGAGGACGCGAACTTCCCGTTCCCGGAGGTGACCGCGCACACAGCCGCCAGTCCAGAGAGCAAAACTGCTAGCAGAAGCACTACGGCGAACGGTACCATCGGTTTGGCAACGATCTCGAGCAGCAGAAACGGGAGGGTCGTCGACGTTCCTAGATCTCGTCCGGGGATGGGTGTGCTTGCGAAGAGGCCACCGTCCGCCCACCAAGGACCGATCACCCTCACCTCTCAGTTGTGTACGTGTACGATACATCCAGGATTCATTTGGTTATAGAGTAAATCATCGATGTGTGCTCGAAGGCTCCACTAACAATAAAAAGACCCCAGGTGTAAGGCTGAGTTTTCAATGAGGTTTAGCAAAGTGATAGAGCTTGGAATTCTGAAGGCAATAATATTATTTGTTTCAAGCGCACTTAGTTATTAGTTTATGAAATATTTGATGTTCAGTGCAGAGGAGCCTGTGAACACTCATCGAGAATTTACTGTAGTGCCTTCACGAGGTATAGTGAATTTAGGTGTGACCATCGCAGTTCGTGTGTGCTGTGTGATACCCTTGAAGGGTACAAACCCCTAAATGTGCCCTTTACTAACTCTTTAGGACTGTACTCATTTGGTCCTATTTACTTTCTTTTACTATACGTCCAACGCTGGTCCCAGACTCATGTCGATCGAAATATTTGTTCGATTCTCAACCCCATCTCTAGACAGATGGGTTTATCGATCGGTTCGTTAGAGCAAGTCGTTAAGCGTGTGCACGGTTTTGAAAAATTTATTACCGTTGATATTGTAGTTTTTTGACCGAGATACCGTCGAGGTCCCGGGCGCGAGGTCGCTGATAACGTGGCCGAGAACCGTGATTTCGGTTCGGATTTTTGGACGAATTTACGTCGGATTTTCGTGTTTATATTGCTCATCGTCGAAACATCGTGACACGTTTTTTCTTTTTTTCGTTTCGTTTTCACGCTATACTCGGTATCGCGGCTGTTTGATACCTCGGGTTATGAAGATATTCGCGGTTGTTTGCATTCGGATCGAGATGTCTCAGATTTTTCTGGCCCGTCTCCCTCTCTGGATCACACGGACTGATAACCTTCGGCTCGCGCGACTTCTCGGGCACATATTTTCACATCTATTCATGCGAAACGCGTAACGGGCAGAGATAAATCTGTTTCCGGCGAAATTTTTCACCTCGCCGCTTTTACCGCGACGATACGCGTTATCGGGGCCCCTCGCTATCCTCGAGGACCATTTTGCCCTGTTTGTATTCTTTCCCGCAATATCGGCCGCGATATGGAATGTAGGTCGAATAACAACTAATTACTAGTGATTTGTTAATGGAAGTGTGTCTGACTCACAGATCATTAGACTATTGATATTCCCCATTATGTTTTTTTTTTTCGGAGAATTCTTCTTGAAAATAGCTTGAACCTTTGGTTAGACTGTTCGCTCGAACATTTTATTCGAATATTGCGGGGATAGTCTTTGTAAAATATGGTAGCCTCGTGTAAATATTAGGTGTACAAATTAATTCGTGGCCTTCTTTTCATAGATTTGTTGTTTATTAAAAAAAAAAAAAAAAAAAAAAAACAAATACAGTTCAGTCCTGAAAATATTCCACATCACTTTCATATTTACGCTATTTCTGGGGCAGTTGGCGATAGCCATGTCGAAAAAATAATGGCGGTTTTGAGTCGATAATTAATTGTGGGGGCCAAAAATTAATTTTTACAATTAATAGTTCCACCCAAGACATTAGAAGTGGGTGCCATGCTTCTCTGGTTCCACATCGTGAATACCAACCCACGATCGATCCAGAGAGGCTTTACTGCATAGTATAAGGTGACACAAAAAAAGGGTCTATAACTTCTAGAGTAAGTAATACTCGTGAAATGATGAAAGAAAGTCTCAATAAGCATGGGTCGAAAAATTAATATTTCTCCGGGAGGCTATCGGTACCGTATAGAGATAATAAAAAAAAATAGGTAAAAAAAAAAACAAATAAAAATGATAGAAAACCTTTTGTAGCCAGAAAAAGAAGAAATAATAATAAGGTAATACATCGTTTCTATACGATACGATAGCTCCCGAAACGAAAAAGTCACCAGCTTCAAACGAAACAAAAAATTGTTTATAACTTCCAAAAGATATTAATTTTTCAATCCATATTTATTAGGAATTTTTTTCATCACTTGACGAATATTATCTATCCTAAAAGTTATGAACCCTTTTTCTTTCATCACCCTTGTATATCGTTTCAATTTGACTCCTTTTTTCCCTATACGGATATTCAGGTAGCGCCTCCGCGGACGGGAAAGTCCAATTGCAAATCATCTGCCAGCCGGAACAGCAACACCGTGCTCGCTACCAAACGGAGGGCTCCAGAGGTGCTGTGAAGGACCGTACCGGAAACGGGTTCCCGGTCGTTCGTCTGGTCGGTTACGACAAACCAGCGACCCTTCAGGTGTTCATAGGCACCGATCTTGGGCGTGTCGCGCCTCATATGTTCTACCAGGCTTGTCGCGTGAGCGGCAAGAACTCGACGCCCTGTATCGAGCGTAAACTCGACGGGACGATCGTGATCGAAGTGGACATGGACCCCACCAAGGACATGATGGTCACTTGCGACTGCGTTGGTATCTTGAAGGAACGTAACGTAGACGTGGAGCATAGATTCCCGCAGGAAGCTGGTATTCTGCAGGGTAGAAGTAAGAAAAAGTCGACCCGTTGTCGTATGGTCTTCCGAACGACGATCACACATCCAGACGGCACCACGGAGACCCTACAAGTCTGCTCGCAACCGATAGTCTGTAGTATGTATTAACAGTACATTAATTTTTTTTATTTTTATTTAAAGGATTAGCGTCGCAATAATTTTGTTAAAGAAAATATTAAATATAAATAATTACATACGCGTCTCTGGACCACCAAGTGGTATTGATGATAAATATCTAATTTATTCATTGTCCCCCTTTCCAGCACAACCGCCTGGCATCCCAGAAATCTGCAAGAAATCCCTCACCTCGTGTCCCTGCACCGGTGGACTGGAACTGTTCATTCTCGGGAAAAATTTTCTCAAGGACACGCGAGTAGTGTTCCAGCTGGACAACGAGGATCTATCGAGTAGCTTGGAACCGCACTGGGAGTGCGCGGTACTGCCCGACAAGGAGTTCCTTCAGCAGACGCATCTCGTATGCGTCGTGCCCGCCTACAGACGACAGGATCTGGCGCCCACGGAAACGGTCAGCGTGAAATTGTACGCGGTGTCTTCCGGGAAGACCAGCGAGCCCCATAACTTCCTCTATACCGCGGTGTCCACGCCACCGGAACCATCTGTGGGGAAAGTCGAACCTATAACTCCGCCTCTACCCACTGCGAATGGCGAAACAAGTCTAGCAACCTCTCCTACGGCGGTGTCCCTAACGACAGGTGTACCAGCGAACAGTAAGTGGAATTTTCTAAACACGGTCCAACTGTTCGCGAAATGTAAATGGTAATTGTGTATAACAAAAAGGTCGTTCTGATGTTTCAGCTCTGATCAACCAAGCAACCGCAGGAACGCCGAATTACCTGTCGACGATGCAACCGCAACAACAAACGTCCCAAACCAACGAAGCTCTAAAGAACGATCCCAGTCCACCGCCGGTTACGGCGTCCTCTCAGGTAACCCCAGTCATGATGTGGGCCGCGCAGAGTCCCAGTTGCCAGAACTCACCGCCCGACGTGATGATGCCGCCCCCATCTTTGGTCGCGAACCCCCTTCTAAATCGTAGATCATCTTCGAACCTTCAGTTAATACTACCAGATAATCTGAAGACCGAGGTGCTCGACGAGAACAGCGAGAACAGTATGATCAGCGAGAACAGCATGCAAAGTATATCCACGCCAACCGCGAACGGCTCGACGGGGACCAGTCCGTTGCAGCAACTAGTGAACGAGAACTCGAGGGAGACGTCCCAGCAGAACAATATGATCAGATCTGTGCCCGTGGTCGCGAACGGTTCACCGGTCCAGGAAGCGGTTAGCCTTCTGGGCGTGGTCGATATGATGCGGAATCAACACCCGTTGTCAATGGTCACGCATCAGAACACCTACGGAGGTATGCACGAATCGTCTCAAGTCAAAGTCTTAAGCCCCCATCATATCAACAACGACACTAACCAAATGTTACCAGCAGAGGGCAGTCCTAACGGAAGCCTTCAGGGTGGCGGAGTCGTTGATCTACGTATGAAACACCATCAGTCGGAATACGCCGCCCTCTCGAATTTCGCCTCGTCGCCTAACGGGCAGCCGTTGCCTGCACAGAGCGGCCATAGCGTGGAGAAATACCTGAACCATATCGAGTCGAACGTGAAAGAGGTCGAGAATCAAGAGAACGGTTACGTAGCAAACATGCAGCAACGAGCTTCCATTATCGCCACGGGTCGGCAACCGCAACAAACACAATCTTCCAATATGATGGCTTCCTCCAATCAAGGCGTCAAGCTAGATAATCTAGTTAATTCCGCCGCGGAGACCCATCAGCTTGTATCACCGCTTCGAAACGTCAATCCTAACAGCAGCGGCCTGATGAGTCACGTATCAGCCGGTGATCATGAAACGATGTCGAGTTCTCAGCAGACCAGAAACAGCCCGCCTATTCCGGTGCAGCCGATGCTACTTGAAGCACTGATGCCGTCTCAGACTGTTCAACCTTTATCAGCAAACGGTGCCTCGTCTGTCTCCCCACCAACGGTTCAAGAGCAAACCGCCGGCGACAGTTTAATGACAACCATCAACGCTGCCTTATTACCAGCGATGCAAGAGCCAACAGTATCAGCCAACGGTACGTCACCGGCTAACGTACCGTCGCATAATCAATTACAAGTTACGAACGAGACTATGTCGACAGCGACTGATCACATTCCCCAAATTCAAGGTCTGACTCAGTCGGATGTCGTAGCGATGCAACAAGTACAACAGGTCGAGCAGGTTGTTGCTCAGGCGCAACAACAGGTCGAGCAAGTTGTTGCCCAGGCGCAGCAGCAGGCGGTGCAGGCGGTCCAGCAAGCGCAACAACAGGTTGTTCAGCACGTGGTGCAGCATGCGCAGGTTGTCCAGAAAGCTGTACAACAGGTGCAGCAGGTTCAGCATGTGCCCGCGGTCCAGCAGGCGATGCAACAGGTTACCCAGGAAGTGTTTCAGCAGGCGGTACAACAGGCCCAGGCAGCTCAGGTGATGCAGCAGGCGGTTCAACAGGATATTGGCTCGATGTTAAATCAGCCAGCTGGTTTTGTCGCGGAGGCCAGTTCCGCCCTTGCCAGTGGAGCTGCTCAAGAACCGTCGCAACAAAGATTGACCACCGCCGCTGAACAGGCGATTAACAATGTTATTACCAACGCTACTCAGGATATCATTAACAATAGACCTATCACGACAACCACCGCGCACGCTATCATCGCGACAAAAAATATATTGAACAGCGTGGCCACACAAAGTGCCCAGCTGATGAACAGTGCAATGGAGGGGATACTGCCCAAATCGCCGTCTAGCCAGAACAACATGGTTGAACAAGTCACGAGTAAGTCACCGCCGGTTGCCATGCCGGTGACACCCAGCAGACAAAGTGTAAATCCGCCCATAACAAACACCGCTGGCAACTCGGTCGGGACTACCATTAGAAAGCAGGAGGACGGCATGTTACCTCAAGAGCTGACGTCGATGTCGGAACACGATCTTCTGAGCTACATAAATCCAAGCTGTTTCGATCCGCAGAATGGCTTTCTTATGTAGTGCCGCCGTATCCTTGTCATATTCCTAAACACGAAAATCGTATAATGGTATTCGAGGTACTCGGATACGGAATAAGTGACTATTTCCAGCCAATCGAGTAACGGAAGTTTACATATGTTGGTTCGGTACGAGTTCTATATCTGTGCCACATTGTCGTTTCAGACTTTGTATGTGATAGAAAAAAAAAAAACACAAATCCTGTTTTGTATGATGAAAGAATGGACGAAGTTTGCACCACCTTTGTAATCGAATCGACGAATCTGTTAACTTTGTTAAGTAAGACGGGCGCATGAGAGCGCGACAATTAGGGTCTCTCCTCCCTTTATTCTTCCTTTTTCTACGAATTGTCGATTGTGATAATTCATTTTATTTATCTCTTATTAATGCCTTTTGCGCATCCAGGTGCCTTTCCCCCTGCCTCCCTTGTCCCAACGCCGCTATTGTAAATGTATCTCAGAATTGGTATTTCCCTTTTGCAGAGGAGTCGTGTTTATTGTATCCTATTAATCGACAATGTACTGACCCCACTCAATTCTACACGGAGCCACGAAATTGAGTGTTTCAAAGGAAAGAAAAAGTTAGGTTTCCCTGAACCTTAAAGTAGACTACCGGATCCTTATGTTTCATTGATACATCCTTCTAGTTTCTTTCTTCCCCCTTTGCCTTGACTTGATTACATTTCTAACAAATGGATCATCTTGTTGTTTGACG